GGCGTTATCGCCGTTAGATGTGCTATGAAACGGAGACGATGACAACGAAGGCTTTGCAGTGCTGTCCTCATCATGCGTCGCTGTTCGAGTGATTGCTGCTTGCTAATTTTTGCTGAAGTCCGGAATTTGACCTGAATTTCGTCCATTGTAGATTGAGGATTATTTTCTGAGATTTAGGATGCTTTAAGGAGTAAAGAGAGAAAATAATTTAAGATTTCAGAGTGAATTTTAAAATCATTAAGAAGAAATGTTCAGGAAATAGAAAGAACATCCTTCACCGCTTTGTCCCTTTTGTTTGTCTATTCCCTCCTTTTTTTTTGTCCCATTTCGTTTGCTATACAATTATTCTAATATTTTGATAAAAAAATTAACTTTTCTGACTCTATCAGTATTAATTCCCTGTTATACTCAAATGCAACATGAAATTTGTTACTGATTTCATAACTGTTCAGGTGAATTTACCAACCATTCCCAATTGTTCAAATGAATTTATTATCGATTCCGCAACTATTCAAGTGAGTCTACTATCGATTCCGTAACTGTTCAAGCGGATCTATCATTGATTCCGCAATTATTCAGGTGAATCTACTATCAATTCATAACTGTTCAAATGAATCTACCATCGATTCCGCAATTGTTCAGGTTTTGTTTCCTTTAAGAATTATAATTTTTTTGGGACAATTTGGGCTACTGTATCATGATTCATTATGTATTTATATTATTGGTAACAAGAAGGATTAAACGTAATTAGCTTTAGGTTGAATAGCAATAAGTCCAAAAGATATGCTATGGTTGACCTCCTTTAGACTTGATGAATGAGTTTCCAAATGGAGGAAGCTATTTCCCATGTCTATTCATGGGCGCAAGAGCACATATGTATGTAAATTGATTTTGTGCTATTGCTTGGAAAATAATCGATAGAATTCCTCCTTTGACCTTCAACCTTAATTTGATCTTGTTTTCAAACTTTTCGAAGTCTAAATCCCCAAAATACTTGAACACATTCTACACTTCGAGTTTACCCTACTTCTCAAATGCTTATCAAATTGTGCCAGGAGTTCTAGAGATTTTCGAAAATTTCATTCTTTAGTGGCAGCATTTATCGCAGCTGTTACCGGAAGTGAACATAATTCTTGTTATTACCATCCAGAAGGACAAAAGTGAAGGACATTGGCTTTCGAAGTTGTCGAAGAACTCAATTGGCATCCCTATTTTCACATATTATTTTTGAGCGCTATCGGTCTACCATTGATTACCGTACTTCAAATGCATTTATTATTATGGCTTTAGTTACCGCACTTCTTGCGACATCCTTCTGTTTACAAGGTAGTAATTTCTAAATTTCAGCTTTTTCTGTTTAGGAGAAAGATCCCATTATAACAAACTATATAAGTATAACAATGTTTTGACCTCCAAAAAATGTTGCAATTTGGTTCACAGATCAGAGACGTATTGTTCCTTATAAATTTGCGCAATTATCTCTATCAAAATGGATTCTATCTCATTAAAAAAAAAAAATTTGAAATTGGATGTCCTTAAGCTAATCATAGCAGCAAAATTTAAGAATCACCTAAATAAATAAATGCAAGAGAAGAAGCATTTACACTCGAGGAAGTTTTAAATTAAGAACTTATTTAGAAGTAGGCCCGTTCCCCTTTAATAATGGATAAGAAGTGCTGTAATTCTGGAAATGCAACCACAAAGAATTCCAATAAAGGATTTGATGTCAAGGAGAGAATATTAAATAAATCTTTTTTTTTTCACATCACAGTAGAAACATTGATAAAAGAAAGTGAATGAGAAGGCGGATTTGAAATTTCTGGCGGATTTTTAGGAAGATGCTAAGCTCTTTTTGGGCATATCTCTTATCAGTATGATGGGTCGAAGGTCATTCATATCAGCTTCCTAAAGTACTCATTGCTTACATCACCATCTTCTCAAAATGTCCAAAATACCACAAGCCACAAAATTGACACTCTCCCATCTGCTCAAAAAACAAAATACCGTATATCGAAATTAAGAAATTAGATTGATTAATTTTTTAACTTTTTTTTTACATGAATATGTATGATATTTTATGTTTCAAATCTTTAGTAATAGATAGAAAAAGTTCTATTTCGCAGATAATAGTTTACATTAAAGAGAACTAAAATCCAGTTGTCCATTTGTTCGAACTGCTTTTCAGGAATTAATTTCAAAGAAGTTGATTTGCTTCTCAAATGTGTACTATAAGTGGCTGTTTATAAGATATGTAAAAATCCACAATCCATAAATTATTATTTCTTCGTTACTTATTGGTTATTAAATGCCAGAATACCATCACTAACTGGCTAGGCTCGCTAGTATTGTTGTTGTATAGTTAATGGAACTTCTCAAGAAGATATAGAATATTGTATAATAGCATGAAAGTGGAAGTAATTTGAAATTTGAGTAAATAATTGGTTATTTTTAATATAACTTATAAAGCTAAGAAATGAAATTAAATGATTCATTCCATTTGTGATAGATAGCCACCTAAATTATAGTGGTACTACCCTGAATTCAACTGCTCTTTTAATCAAGCCAGTAGCGACGATTTTTGGAATCTAACTGAAAATGAAAACCATCGATTGGTAAAAGGCGTTAAGTTATTTCGCCCAAATTCAATTCATTCGTAATATATTAAATTGACGACTGTTTTGGAAGAGAGAGACTCTTTTTGGCTAAAACTTTCCAAAATTTCCCAACTATGAAAGGACGATAAATTTAGACTGAAATGATTACTTGTTATTGGAAAGTTTAAAAATTCAATTTCCTTGTTATTTTGTTTGTGAAATTTTATGAACCATAGGTAAAGTGAGTTAGGATGTTTACTGAGGCCATCTGTATTCATCAACTGCGAGACTCATTAATCGGGTAGATTAATAACTGCGCTCTCATAAACTCGTCATTTGACGCCGTCGACTAACATTATTTTGTATATCGGATTTGTTTGGAGGGAAGCAGCAACTAATAATATTTTAATTAGAATACTTTTAATCATTGAGTCTGACTGCTAGCAATCTGTGATAATTAAAAATATTAATTATTGAATTTCGAAATCAGTATCATTTTTTAACACCTCAACACTTCACATGAATTGAACAATATCACATTAGTTTTAATGGATGTTTCAGAAGGTGAAATATATTCTGCTTATAAATACATTTTGCGCCCTCTGTAACCACCTGGCCATTTTGTGGACTCGCATCACCAATGTCAATTAATTAGGATGAAATGAGGATTAGTACTTGACATTTATCCGTCTTTCGTCGACATTCCATGGAGGAAAAGAGATGAATGATTTGGATACATTTAATACAAATGCAAATAAAACCTGAAGGAAACCAATTTTGAATGGTTTCATTTTAGTCGTTTGGCCTTACAATTTGTGTTTGGAAGGTGAAAGCTGAAAGTTTTAAGGGAATTCTAATACTTAGTATCTATGACAAATTATCAAATTTGGCCTTTTAAATTTTACTAATCTGTTTAGGGTTCAAATCTAAATGGTCTGAAATTTCAAAACAAAAAAAATTGATGTTCAGCAATATTGTAATTGAATTAATTCAAATCATTCGGTTTGCTTACTTTCAAAGTAATCTGATTTAAAGCATCTCTGTATTTAAAAAAATATTTTGCATGAGTAACCTTCAACTCTCAGATCAAATATCAAATCCACTGATTTCTGCGAAAGTTTCTCGTCACCTTTTTAATCCCTAAGGAATAATCAGAGAATCGTTTGTTAGGCTGTTGTCATTGATCTTAGGAGGATGAATTGTTTGATGAATTGATTTTTCAACATCTTTCCTAGATGATCGGTTTGGTTTTCGTTTAAGTGGCCTGATGACTAGTCTTTTACATCTCAGCCTTCATGCACGTCAAATTGTAGTGACCAATTTGACAAGATAAATCTCTTAGCCAAAATGGCCACAGCAACAACATACCACTCATTCTCATAATCGACTCTTTCCTCTTCTCTTTTTATGACCCAGTAGTTTGAAAATATATAACTTGTTAGATAAGAAAGAGAAATTCCTTTAAAGCACGTTAAAACCACCTCAATTAGTATACAGATTTGAAATGTAAAATGTATTTTACGTCTTACCAGGATTAATTAGCACTGCAAAATGATGATAATTACATAAAGAAATGTATCGTTTCAGGTAAGATGAATACACTGACTTATTGCCTTATAAACGCAAATCGTTTTTATTGCAAAATAAAAGCTTTCATATTGCTACCTAATACGTCGGGTAAAAATATAGACTGAACATCCGGTTTTCCTGAATGCTTAGCTATAACAATTCTGAGCTCTTTCTTTGCAGAAAAGAGAAATCTCGAAAATGAAAAATGAAGAAACTGATAAATAAAAATTGTTTGTGAACGATAACCATTTATATTCCAATATTTGTATTTCAAAAATTATATTCAATGGATAACAAAAATTTTAATTGCCTTTTTCCTAGCTAGAAATTACGAGAGAAGAGAAAGAGAGAAAGAAAAAAGAAAAAAAAACTTAAAACTGGAATAAAATTCAATATATACATCAGAAAAAAAAGAAAGGCTGAGAAAAACTTTTTTTGAAGGATGTTGCATTTTATAAAATTATCCTTTAAAAGATTTGAAAATTTCACCAAAACTGGCAATGTAAACTTCATGTAATATGACAAATATTTCCCTTGGAGGTATTGAGAAGAAAACTTTGAGGACTTTTTCTCCTCCCACTGTTTCGTTATTTCTGATTAAGTGCAATCCAGTTGGCATATAATAAAAAGCAGTCAAAAGAACATTCCGGACATTTTCTGAATGTTTCTTTTTTATGTATGATAATAAATCATTTTAGAGTATGAACAGTTTTTCCTAACCAAAAAAAGAGAATTTCTTCAGTTTTGTTATGCTGAAACATTTCAAATTATGAACGAATCTTTTTTTTAGACATTCAGTCCTTGAAAACACCAGAAAAATACCGGGAATGTTCGCTGATGGAGCGATCTAATGAAGATAAGCAAAGATCCAGCAGCACACAACAACAGATCGTTCAAGTACCGCTGCATCAACCAGCTTATCTTCATTGCATAATACCGCATCTAAAGCAAAATATGGTCAGTAGACTAAGTATTTGTCCTATCTATTTACACATATAAGTTTCACAGAATATTATTCGACTTATTGTTGAATTATAAGACTTTCTTTTATTTCTGTCATATTTATTAATCTAATTAAGATTTCTGTCTAGCCTAAATTCCATCCATTCAGTTAATTAGTTATTGGTGGCGAAATTGTTCATTAAAACCTTTTTGAAATTGATATCAGTTTGAATATATTGAGCGAGAAAATTTGTAATATTCTTTTCTAGATTCAAATCAATTCCTTTCATCAATTCATTTCAGGTAGCCTGGACACGTTTGCGTGACGAAGCTTTATTGACTGCTGGTGAGTTATCATTCACCACTGATTCCAGGTTTCAAATATCGCTCAGACCATCTGAAGTTGATTGGGTGTTAATTATTAGGTAAATTTGATGATACCTTACTTTTAAATATAGTTTGTCAATCTAAAAGCAATTACATCATCTGATATTTGTAATTCATTTAGAGGCTGATATGTCCTTCAGGCGCATATTTATCACTTAAATTTATGAATTCTTATTTTAAATAGAATGATTGTAGCCTAGTAATAGTGATAATATAGTAACTAAGTACACTACAGTGAGCTATCCGACTCTCTCAAGTTTGATAACAATTACTTGAGATTTTTTACAAGCCTATTTGAAAACATTATGCTGTTTGGTATTTGTCCATCCGGCATAATCGCTATAAAAGTGAAGTAAAAATTTATTGTTTTTCTTCTTTTTTAATAAATATCTGCTTGTTTCCATCAATGTATTCACTGACTTAATATTTACAGTCGAGTAGAAAGATCAGATTCCGGTTGTTACCTATGTGAAGTAAATACCGAACCAAGAAGCACCGTTTATGCTGTATATTTAGATGTTATCGGTAAGTTTAACAAACCAAGAAAAGTTGATCACTGTGTCGGAAACAAGAAAGCAAGTAGTATTCGAAACATTTCCGATTACTGATAATGAAACCATAAGAGATGTGTTATCATCTTCATGGATACTTATATCTCTTATCTCCTTACACAACTTGAATGTCATGGATTGGCAGTGATAACTATACTTCAGAATTTTTCTTATCTGATTAGATCTTTCACTCCTAGATTCGATAAAATTTCTAATCCGAATTCTATTTCTTGAATTTTTCCACGTTAGTTGTACTGGTTGTATTTTTCAGAAACGCGGAATCTCAAAGCATCATCTTCACCAGCAAGTAATTAAGTTTGATTAATTGTGATTTGGTCAAGTTTTTGCTTAAAGAATTAATTAGACATGCAAGAATGTGTAATTTAATCTTTTTACATTTAGGGAAATGGATTTCGTTATTTGATACTGATCAACTAAGATTCTAGGAAAATCGAAAAATTATTGGCTCTTCTGTTTTCACTTCTGGAATTCATTTTAAAATTTAGACTCATTTAAATATTATACATATGAATCTCATTCATATCAGCTTTTATAGCACTTATTGTTACCATTTTTTGAGGTTCAACACACGTGTCCTTCAACTTACATAAGTCCTTAGGTAATTTCCGTCCTTGGGTTCTTTGGTATTTGCTCGGGCACCATAATTATTGTTGTTACTGTTTTCATTTGCATTTGCATGATACAAATTTAATTTTTATTGAACCAGAAGTGTTTCAATGTTGACACATTTGGGCGTCGTTGTACATTTGTAATATAAATATGTCAAAGAAATGTTTGACAATAATATCGAAAAAAAAAGTTCCCTTCGGTAAATTTTAAATTCTTGTATATAAGTAAAGGTGTTTTACATTTAAGACTAGAAACAATTCAGCACTAAGAACAATGTTATCCCACTAAATCAATAATAAAATTGTTCATATATCAATAATTGTATTACCGTGCCAATGGTTGTGTTATTTAAAAGCAAAGCATTTTAATTTGATGGATGGTCAGTACTTTTCATAAAATATGTTTCGTTTCAAAAATGAAAACATACCATTTCTTTAAAATTAAGAACGTAATTAATGACAACTTGGCCGTAGGACAAACATTACCGAAGTGTAATTAAATTCCTAAAAATGGAGTAAATATTTTATGAAGGCCAAAAAGAATTATTCCAATTCATCACAAATTTGTTTATGTTCGGTTAAATATTTGGATTGTATTTATTTCGAATCTTTAGAACGTACGACAAACTTGATGGCTAATATGATTGGCAGTGAAGTACTCCTGAATTGCACGATAACAATCGGTAATGAAGCAAATAGTGCAAGTGGTGAAGTGGAATGGTGGAGAGATGGGCAACCGATCGATTTTAAAAATACTAAAAGTTAGCGTTAAAAATCTGAATTTAATAACAGCAGAAGTTCAACGAAAATGGACTGCTAAGGTTTCACTAACGATTTTATACTCAATGGATGGATGATTGAAGGTGGTACTTGAGAACTCCCACATTATCATCAGTGCGTCAAGATGAGCATTTTCCAGAATATATATCAAAAGTAAAACGAGACAGTAGAACGATCGTTCACACATTACGGATTCTTAGGGCCTCAAGCGAAGATGATGGAAGTTATTCATGCAAAACGGGAGATGAACCGGAATCAACTCATATGCTACACGTCAATACAAGTAAGTTCTACTGTAGAAATGGTCTGTTCATATGACTCAGACATGGCTAAGATGAGATCGAATCAATTTGTTCTCTCGGTCATACCTTGCTAATTACTTCACCAGGAATACTATCAGCTAGAAATTACTATTACCTCATCGTTTACATTCCTCCCTCCCCCCTCTCCCCCCGCAAGTACGATCTGTCTATTTTATATAATTTCATTAAAATCACTCCTCCGTCGTTCGTTTATCGATTCCTGTTTTCGATGTATTTATTTTCTTCAGCCATTTTGGAGCAAACTAATTTGCATTGCAATCCGAAAGACCACTCATGTCTTGGAACAATGCAATTTGCAGTTAACCTAAATTCTTAATCAGATCTTATCGTAGTCATAAAAATAATTATCTCAAAGAATAAACTATTTTGTGAAAAAAATGAAGAAGTAGCTAATTTTAATAAACAATTTTCTTATGTTTGACATCAGTTTATTTTAAAAATTTCCAAAGGTCATCATGAATTTAATAATCTTCCATCAAAATTTTCTGTTAACGATGACCTTTGTTTGATTATGAGTGGTATAGTTTATGACACCAAAGTTTATAGCATTTACAATTTAGTCGTGTTCTAAAGTCTAAAAAAAAGGTAAGATATTTGGTGAAAGAAACCGTATAAGTCAAAAAGCAAATTTTAAAAGTTTTAAAAGCAATTCGTAAGAACAGAAAAATTCGAACTTATCATGTGATGTCATCTTAGGTACAAAATCTCAAAATTTTATTCTGAATTATAGAATTTTCACAGTTTTCTTTTCAGATCTGGCTCTATACAACGGCAGCCGAAGAATCCAGAGGATATCTTGGCCTTTATTGATATTACTTTTTCTCCTTGTTTCGTCTCATTTGGACTTCCCGAATGTGTCAACAACGCAACTTTTCAAATTATGAAAAGATAATTAATTTCAGTAATTACATTGCAGAAATGTTCTCAAACTGTATTTTACATAGTGTATGATGTGTGAACTGTCCATATGATATAATTAATGGTGCTTGTTGTGAAACAACTACAACTTAAATCCAATACCACGTAATACTTGTTACTCAAAAACTTCCTCATTTCTTGCCAGTTGAGAACACTTCTGAAATTCAATTCCCGTAATTGACAATTATTGTTGTTCATCAATCATATCAGCTATTATGGATGGGTAAAGATAACGGAAAAGAGGGAGAGAACAGTTCAATTTCTGCTAATAAAATGCTTTTTTAAAAGTCTTGTTGATGAGTTTGTATCAAATATTATTGTTTTGAACGTTGGTTTTACACGACCATATCGTTGTCTAACAGACGGAAAATGCATTCTTCTAAATCTCTTGTGGATTCCTGAGAATTTCCAAATTCAGGAATCCACAAGAGATTTAGAAGAATTTAAAACGCTTTGTTTTATGGCCAAATTCTTTCAAGTAAACGAACTCAATTACTTCCAATTCGTAACACTTTGTAAATTGAATGATCCGAGAGATTTGAAAGATCTATAAATTATCTTACTCTAATCTTAGTCAATAAAGTCCAAAATAAAAGAATTCTGGAATGGAAAAGATTTCTCAATCTTTAGAAGAAGCAAGCAATATCATTATCATTTTAAAATTTCATTTTGTTGAAGAAAATGAAAATAGAAGTATTTGAAATCTAAGATGAAATTAAGAGAGATTCATGAAAGAAATGGGGCACAGAGCAAATTTATTAGAATGTTATCAGTAAGAATGTTATCAGTCTGATGATCACAATTACAGTGATTTTCCACTTCACCATTATTACTTGCATGGCATAGATTATAATTATTGTTGTTATACGGAAAACGATCTATTGATGTTCCGAACAGACGAAGCACAATTTTGCTGGATATCCCGGGATATTGAAGAGTTATCAAAGAGTGAAAATGTTTTTCAACATCTGTTCTGTAATGATGATGCAAATAAATGGGTCATGAAACAGTTTCCATCCTCTGTCAACTACCGCATTCTCTCTTTCCTTCCTTTTTTATTTCTGATCCTACCAGGTGGTCTTTACGTCTATCTATTCGATTGTTCGCGTCCGCGCATGTCATCAGGAATGTTCCTTATCCTGAGATGGGTGCCAGTCCACTTGTCTACATGCATTGTTATTTATCCCTATAACTGAATTCCCTTCAAAATTCACAGTTTTCGCCCGAAGTTGTCATCATTAATATGCACAAATATTAAAAATACATCCAATCGAAACCCTTCAGCATCGCTCAGTCAAGCGCAAAAGGGCAGCGGCGATTTCCTGAATTTGTTTCACCTCTAAATGCGATGCGTCTTTTTTCCTGCTGCTTTTATCAAATTAATCCTTTTCCTGATGAATTTATTATGCTATCATAGTTCTAGAAATAGATCCCTTAAATAATTAAAAACATTTCCGGAATACCTCTTTAATGGAGCTTTCATACGCCAATAAAATAAGCTGTTTAAAAAAAAAAAGACCGTCGAATTTCAGTTTCAATAGGCGTAAATTTTCCACCTGAAAAAGATTTCCACTAGTAATAGATTTATGCTTGAAAACTTTTAATTTCAAGTAACAACTTGTATTGGCTATGTAATATATTCAGAAAAATTTCTTCTCTTTCTATGGAAGAAATGATTAAGGAAACAAAATGGAATCCCATTAAAGCAGCAGTATTTGAGTTATCAATGACCATTTGGAATCTTTTCACTTTGAATCTAGTCCAATGTTATGAGAATTTATATAGCTATGTTGAAGGATGATCCATTACATATCCTGTCAAATAATAAAATGGGGATATGGGATGAATTACAAATCGTCTCCGTTTTTAGTGCTGATAAATTTCTCGGAACTTGTCATCGGGAGGTGACTTGCGATGCGAGAAAAAATTGGGCGCTGATGCTTTCAGCTGATTATTCTTCCCTGCCTCCTCCAGTGGAATTCCGCCTTTATATTCTCTTCGACTTTCTCTGATCCTTCTACATTTTCCATCCATTTATTTTTCGACAGAATTGGAGCGACTAATATTTTTTATTTTTTTTCTTTTTCATAAAGGTTGAAGAAAAGAGTGAGAAAAGTTTGTTGTTGGAGGCATTCATTTAAACTTATAATCTCTACAACTTCAATTATCACTATAATTACTGTCAACAATATCTACCACTTTCATTTCCACCAACCACAATTAACATCCCCGGCATTGTTATATTATTCTGATTTCACTCGCCATTGTCCGCTTTTTCTTGTCCTCATTCCGTCCACTTTCCTAATCGTCTCTTAACTCTTCATAAGTTGTTATTTTTTGTCTCGCATATATTGAACTGAAATATTTTTCAGACATCATTTCCAGAAAAAAAGTTTGAAAAGAAAAATGCTGCCAACTTATGGTACGGTAGTATCATTAATATTAATCACGCCGACGCTAATCACAGCAATCGATTACGAGGACAATGATCTAGCTAAAGGTAGTCCTTTAGACAATAACTTCGAGAATGCCTATCAACTGCATAATTCTTCATGATATTATGAAAGTTCATCACAGTGTAGGACCTAATTGTAGTGTCTATTACTATGTCTACAGTAGTAGTAATATGATATAAATAGTGCTACATTGCCCATTACCGGATAAATTAATTATTAGATGATATCACAATACCTGTGTAATACTTGTTACCTATTCAATAATCTCGTCTGCTTTCCGATGGAAATGTCTGATAAGTTGATTATGGAATCAGTTCTTTCATATTATGTTTATTCATATTGTACTTCAGTATGTCGACCTTTGGATCGTCAACTGGATTTGTTGTTCATTCTGGATGGTTCTGGCAGCGTTAGTGGAAACACTTTTGCAACACAAATGGCTATGCTTAATAAGTCGGTTACGAAAACTGTGTGATATTTTAAAAAGAGTAGAAGTTCCTGATATTTATTTCACACAAACTTTTGCAGAAGTAATTTTTCTTTACTGAGCCAAAGCTTCAGTACTGGGATAGTTAAGGTTGCTCATCAGGCTCAGTACAATTTCACTCTTTTAGAAAATACATTGCAGGATAGTCGATATGATCGAAATTGGCCCGAAAAATACACAAATTGCTGTAATGCAGTATTCATCCTACACACGAGTCGAATTTAATTTTAGTGCCAATCCAGTTGGTTGCTGTTTCAAAGTTTCAAAAACTTCGATGTCAGTTCAAAATATAAAGTGCAGTGGGTTTTAGGAAATTCCGAAACACCGAAATAATGCAAACCCTACTGAACCAATCAGGATCCTCAAAATTCCTAATTTCATTTCTCGAGATTTTTTCAAGTTATTCTCAGCAAAACAAAGACTTAATAGCCGAAGCGAAGGAACGTTGGAGATGAAACCATACTTTTATGGTATTATGATTAAAAATAGACGAAATTACAACCAATTGTCAAATGAAATGGACTTTTATATTTTGTATAGGTAGATATATGTACGAGAAAGATCGGAAATGATTTCATTATGAAATTGTCTCTTGAGAAATGTATATATTCATCAGGATATTGAACAAAAGTCATTGAAATGTACACTGCTCATAGAAAATGGAAATTGTTTAAGAAAAGCAAGAAAAATCGATTTAGAGTATGAAAAGTGAAAGTTATTCATTTCCGAAGCAATGTTTGTTAACTGTTCACTGTCCACCATTATGGAGGTACTTTAGATCAAATTATCTTCCTTAGTTAATGGACCGTTCCTTCTTTCATCGCTTATTCATATCTCGTATTCATATCTCTTATTCATATCTTATTCATATCTAACAACTTCAATTAAGACTGCAGCTCTCCGGGTCATTCACCCCTGATGGAAAATTATATTAACCCCACACATCCCAGATCCAGATAGAAAGTTGAGCTAAAAAGTTTGACTTCAAATCTAAATATCTTTTTCTAAAGAACCATCAGTCTGGTTCGAACACTTTTTGAAAATTTCCAGTGGTGGTTGATGTATAACAAAAAATTTCCTCTTGGGAGATAATGTTGAAATTATCCAGATTTACGTTTAGATTCGAAATTAATATTTAAACTTGAAATGGAAAACTTCTCATATTTCTATTTCGAAACAAGTGTATTCATCCAGTTGTGAAAACTTTTGGAAGCTGCTGTGGAGAGAATTTGTGACACTTGAATCTTAAGGATGTTTATAGAATCACCTCAAAAAATGAAAAATTTTCTAGAACAAGGAATCACTTCGCGCCTCACTCCAGAAAATTCGGCATATCTCGGGAACAACGAAAACTGGTAAAGCATTGGACAAAGCTCTGCATGTTTTCCGTCATGATTCCAGTTTTGGAGCGCGATTGAATCAGGATGATGTGGCGCAGGTTTCCAAATGATAATATATATTTTTTTAATCAACTTCATCTGTTTCTTTTCTATCAGCAGTTAATTCTAAAATTTCAATTTCTAAATCAAATGTAGGAACTCTTTACACTCCGAAACATTCCTCATATATTTTTGATGAACTAATATTTCATTAAAATTTTTCCAATTATTACTTTAAAAAAATGTTTAAAAATTGCAGCAATCCGTAATAATGCTTATAGATTTAATTTCTTGACAAATTCATCATTGACTTTCTATTATGAAATGAAGGATTTTTTGATGAAACTGTCATCAGGTAGCTGTGGTTGTCACCGATGGTCATTCACATGATGATCCGATACCAGCTGCAGTGCGACTTCGTCAAGCTGGTAAATAACAGTAATCTATCCAAAAGATTTTAATATTTAATAGAAGATTTTTCTTTGAAGAGAATTTTAAGCCTCAAGTGAAATTTATATTTCCAAATATAATTCTTAAATTTTATTTATCCTGTGATTTTTACACAGGTGTCCAAATACTTACTCTTGGTATTGGTGCGCACATTAATATGGGTGAGCTGATGGAAATCACCGGCGATGAAAATCTTGCCTTCCAAAATCTGACTTCTCAAGCTTCATTAGATCAATTTGTGTATCAGTTCAAAAAGATTGCTGTTGGTGAACACTGTGATTTTTCCAGAGGCTGGTGACAATTTTACATGTTTCTATTTCTTTTTTTTAAGGAAATTATCAAACAGAAAATTCCTTTCATATGATTTTAAAATTGGCAGAAGTTTGACTAAATTCATATTTTTCTAAGAATGAATATTAATTCAATCTCCAATTTAGGATACTAAAGATCCCAAAAACTTTATGGTGCATTATCAAAATAAAGCAAAAGGTCCAATGTTAACTACAAATACCGTCATGGAAAAATTATATTTCAGGTCCACTCGGAGCTGAAATAAATTGTCACAGTGATTCTGTCGAGATTATTGTTTCGACAGTGAATCCATTCTATGGACATCTTTACGTACCTGGTCAGTTTCACCATTCGGAGTGTGCCGGGATCGCACGGAACTCATCTTCCAAAGAGATCCGTCTTTCATTAGATCTTACCTCTTGCAACATCCAGAAACAGATGAAGGTAAAATAATTTTAAATGGTTTGTATTTGAATTTTTTTACTCGTTAAGCGTTTAAGTGCATCTTGTCTCACATCTTTAAATTGCAGGTAACTGGAACATTTGCCTTAGTATTTTCTGCGATCAAAGATCATGATCATCCATATGAGTTAGCAATAGCATTACGAAATACTACGTTGTATTATCACTTGAGTGAAAGTAGAATGTTTACTGATAGACACAGAAATACGATGATTGTTACTTTGATTCATTCTGATACTTTCATTGAGAAATTTCAGCAAAATCTTATGGGTACATTATTCGAAACAAGTGTCGTACTGAAATTCCATCCATTATATAATACAAAAGCAGATAAGGTTTTCAAGGTGCAATGTTTTTATCCTGAAAAAGCACCAAAATTACCGAGAAAATATGTGGACAATCAAGTGGCTATTAGTGATAAGTAATATAATATAATATAATGTTCTCTTGTAATAATGCTTAAACGTTCTTTTCGAGGCATTTTTTTAAAGCCTACTTCTAATATTATCCCTTTGTTCCGTAAGTTCGTTCTTTCTTTGCATTTAAAATGGATCTACAGGAATGAATATCAAATGCCTTGTTCTTACAAGATGGTATCGAATTCAAAATCAAATGATAAGTGTAAATTAGAAGATGTCCGTGTCGGTGATCAGATCATTCATTCATGGGAATGCGATAAAGGTATGAGTGGCATGATTACATTTCTAAGTGACAAATGAAAATTTAAAAAAAATGACATTGCCCAATATAGCTAACAAAATCATTTTGCAATACATCACTTTATGCGTGAACTTCAACTATGTATTTTTTTTCATCAAAATTAAGGTCAAAACTAGATTTATGAAGTGTTAGAAAACGACGAGTGTTTAAGGAAATTGCGAGAGGCAGGTCAGACTCAAAGTGACGAATCAAACATTTCAAATTTCCCTAAAAAAGCGCTATTTAAAAATAACTTTAAAGAGCGCAAAAGTACTGCGAAACAATCGCAACAACCGCATTCCTTCTTCAGTTCTAAGGAATTAATTCTCTTTTTTATTTGGAAATTATAATTGGTTAAACTGAATTTTGAACTCAGTCAGACTAGGCACCGGTTCACTTTGATTTAGTTCAGTGCAAAGCATTCTACAACTATCTGTAGAGTTGGAAAGGAAGGTATTGCAAGGCATTCCAGATAATTCTCTATGCTAATCATCAATTCAACTACCAGAACCCTTCTCGATGTGCCACCTTGCAGATTCCTTCGATACATATCAGTCGATGCTTGTTCACAGTTGTGTTATCATTGACCTGAGCAGTGGAGTTAACAGTACTGTCATTGATTCGTCCGGGTAAATTTACTTCATCAAACATTTTATCATAAATTTATACAATTCAGAGATAATAAAGTAATTTCGTAAAATTTCATAGATGTGCACTTGATAGTTCGGTGATCAATTTACCAGAATATTTGGATCCGTTGTCAGCATTTGCTATAGGCAAAGCAGTCAAATTTCCCGATGGTTCAATGATCAAAATGCAATGCCATCTACGATTTTGTGATCGTTTATTGGGTGAATGTGATACCATTTTGGTATGCGTATTTCACGCTATATTTTTCTCTTAATAATGCTTGTTGACAAACATTTCTGTATTATTGGTGAAAAGGCGGAAAGGGATGAAATCTGTGCTGTTGTCGTTTCGCTTTGTTTTCTGATAACCGCAGAATTTTATTGTATTCAGTTTCGGTTGGAATTACAATCAGTGCTTTAGTGCTTTCGTCCCTAAACTTCTTAGAGACTAAAAATTGACAAATGAAACTTCTAGCCTCCTCGATGTCGCAGAAGTCGTCGAGAAGCAAAGAAAAGTGGTGAAAATACCGAATCTATAAATGCACCTTTGAAAGTAAGATATGCTAAATTTAGAAGTTTCCCAACCGCATATTTGTTTAAAATTTTCCAAAATGTATCTTTCTATGAAATACCTCTTAAATTCCATTTTTTTATTTGTCAAAATTTAGGAAATGAACCGATCCTGGGATTTCACAGGTTCCATTGACAGCGATGATGAATATGAAGAAGAAATTGCGGAAGCGATGACCTTTACAATAGCACCGATGACAACAACAACAACGACGACTACATTGACATCAATACCACTGCTAACTTTTCATCCATCACGGCAAGAGAAATGTTTGTGCCTTTCTTTAATATTTTAATACTAAAACATAAAAGTTTAATTAAAGGTATCAACTTTTTTTTGCTGTAATTTGGAATTTCTTTGTTTGATATTTGATCTGTCATCCAAATTTTCTCAGTCGATAAAAATTTTAAGCATTTAGCAATGCCATCACGTCGACGTTTATCCATCGTTGGACGTGTAACTACAGCAGGAGGTCATTCGGTTGGATCATTACCGCTTTTGTTAGCATCTAACACTCATGATATAGCATCTTATTCTTTCGAGAAACTGATCAGTAATGAAGAAACACCATTTGCTGTTCCATCATCACCAATTAATCGGTTCATTTTTACTTTTTTTTTTTTCTTATCATTAAATGCAGCTTGGCAAAACGGATTTGCACTGTCCTACCTGGTATTCAATGTTTTATAATAGTTATATGATTTGTAACATAAACGCTTAAGATAATAAACCGAACACTAAAAGTGCATAATGGTCATTTTACAAGTAGAAACTAAACCATTTCTATCTGTTTCAGCCACTCTCCGAACGGTGGTCATCCACGCATTATCGATTTTCCAGCAGGCGGTATGGATATAAAAATTAACACACAAAATGTAACAATTGTAAGCGATGATCATTTGAAACAACAATATCAAAAAGTAACTTTAGGCATTTTAAATTTTTACAAACTTATCTTTAGCGAAAATTTCACAATTTTACATAAACGGCTTAAAGGGTCAGCTGAGGTAGCTAGTTTCGACTGGAACCGTATCAGTAACAGGTATCAGTTCTTCAGATATATCTTAAGAAAGACTTGAATATAGTTGGAGACACGAGAAAACAGAAGGAATTGTAAGGTATATAATGCGAATAGAGATATTGAAGAAGAGATATTTATTTTTTCTCGTTGTCTTGTGGAATGAAATTAATTATTAAATTAAGCAGCGAGGAATAATTCATGTGACAGTTTCAAAAGAAGACAAAATAATGCGACAGGTTTCAGGAACTGAAGGAACGACAACAAAAAATAAAGTCATTAACGAAAAATGTCTCAAAAACACCACTAACAATCATATCTTCGGTTGTATTCGATAAAACTACTGCATCTGCGATTATATTCAATAAAATTATTAACGGCGCAGAACGAACACCGCACCAACCGAGTCACAACATATCTAAAACAGGAGATACTGAATTATCAGCGCTAGAAGCAAGGAATAAAAATATTTTCATTAATAATTCATTCCAGGAAATCGAGAAACAAACGACCAATAGGGCACGCTTTGAGTCAGAGGTGCTTCTTTTCGATATTCTGAAATTCAGGAAAAGTTCCCACTATCTGAACCTTAAATCAACTCTCTTCCTTGTACTTCTCGTTTGCTTACATCCGAAATAATTTCCGAATGTTTGTGGATTCTAAATTATCATGAGTTTTGAAAAAACAGCGCAGCAACTACAAAATACTCTTACAAGGAAATTTGGTTTCATATTTCATTTAAATTGGAAGTGATTGTGAAAATTCAGAAATCGGTGGAAGAAATAGTGGAAGAAATGAAAGCAGTCGTACAACTTGAACAAAGGATACAAAAAACACTTCGATCTGATGCAATCATAATTGAATCACAGGTCTCTCTCATCCTTTCGGTTTTTCATGCGTTTGGTATTTTTCTGCTTTTCAAATACAAAACTTTGAAAATTTCGAAAAGCGAATGATTTATAATTTTTGAAAAATATGGATTTTTTTTGGCTAATTAGCACACCTGAACATATTTGAAATTTCAGGTTATAAATGTCCGTGATTTGGAGGTAATGAGTGATCCAAATTTAAAAGAAAAGTGGTGCAAGAGATAAAGTGATCTAAATTAGGAAAGGTCACCAAGGATTATGCAAAACACACCTAAGCCTGATATATTCCGATTACTTTAAGCGTTACGAAGTTTGTCGAGATTCCGAATGGACAATCTAAATTCTCAAAACTCTCTTTTCTGCTTTTCTGTCCTGTGGTATTTTCCTCCATTAGAAAAAATACAAGAAAATGGGGAAAAATTGAATGAGACGGAAAAACACGAATACTTCAATCCCAAATTCAAAAAAACGATTTTTAATGAGACCGGTTATTTTGCAAAACTTTTAATTGCGAATGTTCCAGACATCTTTATTTATCTTCTTGGCAGGGCAATATAAAGGATAGTGTTATGAGTCGAACTCGGACCTAAGAATTTCCATAATTTGATGCTCACTTTAGTTATAATTACGAACTATTTTATATCTTTCCTGTGAGGAACTTAATTTACTCCGTTATAAATTCGACTCCATTATTTAAAGAATAGAAATAATCACACCGCCAAAGCATTACCGACTTTCTTTTGTTATATTTTCTGCTTCGCATGCAGGAATGTAAATTATGACCCATGTTGTCATACTGTATATACGATGCCAACCCTCATATGATCTAGAAAAATTTTTTTTGATCCCATTTTTTGCATCTGTGGTCAGAAACTTTCAAATAAAAATAAATTTTTGTCCAAATAAACTGCGTCGAAATTATCCCAAAAGCAACGCCAGTGTTAAGTGAAAATAGAAAAATTGGAAATGCATAGCATAATACCGCCGAACAAATGGCACAAAATTTAATTTCGAGTAGATTACAAACATATATCAGAAGCATAAGAAGCACATACAATTGTAGATTGACAGTATGCAATTGCACAATACAAGCATATATGAATAAATAGAAAAATATGAAACTTATAAAATTTCATGTGAACTGTGATGGTATCACAACGCTTTAATAAAACAGTATTCAGCAAAGGTATTCAAATGAAGTGAAATTTTCCTAAAAAACGGAAAATCCAATTTATGAAGCATTTCAATAAAAACAAATACCTACTATCAGAGCAGATTTTCTTTCCATTGTTTCTGCAAAGCAACGAGTTTTGGAAAAGTTTGTTAACTAAACATCAAGAGTTTTTTTCTCTCACAATTTATGTCAAGTTCTAAATTATGCGGACACGCATAACATGCATGTAACATAAATTCCGCTTAAAATAAATAAATTATAACGAGGCAAGCGAGCATTTAGAAGCACTGCATATAACGTTATATAAAAATATAAATTGGTAAATTAAAAAAGTCAACAACAGAGTCCCAGTGGGAAATTATTGAAAAAATAATGCTCTCCGAATAGATTTATTAAATACCTATGAAATTTTAAGTAATCTGAGAAATGAACATTCATCTACTTATTTTCCTTCTTTAACAGTCAGCTCCAGACGTGGTTCATCAAAAAAGCTGCGATTTGGAAACACAGACCCCGCACTCTTCAAGCTTACGTTACGTCAAAGCCTCTATAAAGTCATTTCTTGATACTTGTTCTTTTCATGCATCAAGATCTCGAGAACTCATTGACAGCTAAACCTTGCATTCACTTTCCCCTATATTTTTATTAGCTATAGAGGTTTTAAATAAAAATAAATAAGTAGAAAATGACAAAAAAAAAAATGTTTGTAGCCAACAAGCAATAAAATAAATATATTAACAGAAAGATCAGTTTTTATAACTCACAAAATAACACAGGATTTAAGAAAAGAAACATTTTCTGGGAGCAATGACGCCACAAAAACTTACACTTACACGTTTCGTATTGGATAAAGCATAATTTATACTCATAGAAAGTCGAAATAAAAGGAAAAAACTCCCTTATTTCTAAGAACGTTCCCTTAATTTTAAGGACTTCCTCAATTCTCGTACAAGTACTTAGCAGCCTCAATCATTAAGTAAATTAAATAGGATGACTTCATGACTGGCATTATGAATTTTCAGAGCGGTAGGATAGAACAAGATAACTACGAGGAACGACCTAGCAGTCTAACTGGTTATGATAGCTTGTATTTCCTGATGGCGGGAACCTAGGGAATATGCGGAGTAAGGATATGCAGCGAGAACTAAAGATTCAGTCGATATTTTCCAGTGTCATCCCACAATTTAAGAAAACCGGAAAACTTAGAAAAATTGACCGAAATTTGAGAATTTTTTTCGGACGGTAGTCAAGAAAAGTTCAGTTAATCTAATTCAGCTAAAATAACTTGCCTTAACATAAAGCACGATTTAGGTGTTAACATATCACATACAAATCTCGAAACAAATACTTTAATTGGCTCCTTCCAAATGATTCATAGCAAAGCAACGTCTGAAGACCATATCTAAACTGATAAGAAAAATTTTTGAATCCCTAACAAAAAATGAAATGTGGAAACAAAAGCCAACCTAGAAAATGATAGTAATATGACACAATGCTAAGCAAGTGCAACATTTTTCTGATTTAAAAGAAATTTTGGAAAAGACAGACAACACAATGTTCAGAATAACCTGTTCGCCATTCAGCTACAACATTTCCTTTTTTCATGTCGTCTCAGACTAGAGCCACCCAATCGCACACCACCGCCACTATCAGCAATGTTTGGTTGAGGAGCTCGAAGCTTTGCTTCTAGCACTAACCGTGTTATGCAGTTGAACATCTGTAAGACCATACCAAACTAATTCAAAACCTTGATCTCTGTTCCTTTCCCAAGAACTGAAGTTAACACAATAGTAAAACAAAAAAATAAATAAGTAAATAAATAAACAAACAAATAAAATAAAAAGATAAAGGAAACAAAATCTCACCGGAAAAAAAGGAAAAACTAATAATAATCTTACTTGTATTTGCTCGAATGAAACTGCTTCTTAGTCTGGTTCTGTCTTTCTGATTGAGCATGTCTATTTTATAAACTAATCTTAATATTTTAAACTAAATAATTGATCGCATTACTCTAGACTTTCTAAGGGGTAACTTATATAATTATGATGGGAAACACCTCGAGGTAATAAGACAAATGCCACCTCTTCAACATTGATATTTTCTTTAGCGGAGGTTTCGAAGAATGGAATTTTCATTGTTTCTGCAAAACGACGAGCGTCAACTTCTAATACCACTCGCCGTTCTGGATCATCAGCTTTGTTACCAACTGAAGGTGTGTAAGACAATAAAGTAAGGATCATAAGTCTTAACTGAAAATTCAAGAAATTTTCTAAATTTGAATTTCTGAAATTCCTCTATTTCATTTCGGAAGTGATAGTTTCTACCTTACCGAGAACTTTCTGAACATTTTCACAATTTGTGTCGATTTCATGTAGCCATCTTTTCACGTTACTGAATGAATCACCACTTGTCACTTCATACACAACAATTACACCATGCGTTCCGCGATAGTAACTGCAAATGCTGATTTCGGTTTCTATTTCTTTATTTATAAGGTCTCTTGCAAGTACTAATATGATAAGAAATGCATGACAGCTGCTTCGGCTGAACCACCGCAAAATTACATAAAGTATCACACTCAGTACATGACCGTCAAGAAATAATTTCAAATCAAAAATTACGTACTTGAATCAGATTTGAAAAAATCCTTGAGATAGAAGAAAAGAAAAGAAACATACGTAGAAGTGATGGTGCGAAATCTTTCCTGACCAGCTGTATCCCAAATTTGTAATTTCACTCGTTGCCCATTGATCGTAACCGTTCGAATTTTAAAATCAACACCGATAGTTGTAATATAATTCGCTATAAAACGTTGAAATTTGAAAACAACCCAATCACTTTTTCCTTCATTTTTTTAAAATTTCAAACATAATTTTGAATCCAAAAGTTAGATTCCAATTCAGAAATCAAATGATTGATTTGTTGGAAAACAATGCCAAACAGGTATACTAAGTGAAGAAAAAGTAACTGAACTCCTGATAAATTTTTCATAGACGAAAACTCCCAATCCTTTACCACTCTTTAACTAAGCAGAGACTTTTTTGCAATCATTTTATAAAAACTTACGGGAGAATGTGTTGTCTGCAAATCGAAGCAATAAACTACTTTTCCCAACTCCTGCAACAAGAATTTTAAATCGCTTGGTATGAATGACTTCTCAAAATAATTTATTGGACCGTATAATGAATCCGTTTTGGGGAAAGTTTCACGCACTACTTTACTGTTTTCCTCTAAAGAAACCATAAAATAGTTCTGTTCCGAACACGCATGGAAAGGTGCTAATCGACCCTTTCAGCACACAAATGTTAAAAGCTCACCGCTGTCACCAATGATAAGCAATTTGAAGAGATGATCGTAATCACGCGGACCAGGAGCTACACTCATTGAAATGCTTTCTTCTCTTTTTCCTATGCTATAGCGCTTCTCCCCTGAAAATAAATTCCCGTCCGAGAGATCTGAATACATCACACAACTGAAATATATCACTGGCACCCATAAGGAAGGGATGAACAACCAGCTCATTTCAAGTTGAACTTCACATGACTTAATTCTCCAAGGTTTGAGTAAGTATCCGAAAGAATTTTACCCGTCTAGACAGCCTGAACAAAGCTCAACAGACGACACTAAGCAAGCAAATTTTTCCGCATCACAAGGAAATAACGCAGCGACGAAATGAAGCTCGTCCATCCCAACAATTCTTCCATAATTGAAATCCCCAATTAAATCTTGGATAATATAGCCATATTCATAGCTTAAATTATCAGTGAATTTAAAGTACTAATTGTATCATATGATCTCCTTGAAGATTGGACATTTACGTTCCGTTTTTATACTAGCAAACATGGGATAAATATATAAACTCAATGAGGATTTAAAATACAAGTGAAATCTGTACTTCCATTTGTACAAATCCGAAATGTTTTGTACTTAAGTATATTAACGATATCGCAAAGGATCGAGCTCGAAATAAGTGAATTTTGAGGAAGAATAAAGAATTAAAAATACTGAAAAATAAAAAATTGAAGCATGAAATCTGGCGTCTTTTTGATAAACGAAAAACCTCAAGAAACATTTAAAACAAATTAAAACCAATAGTTTAAACAGAATTAAGTCATGACATTTCATTATATGTTAATCCCAATGCACATTTTTCACATACATTTTTGTGGTGGCAGTAGCAGAAAGACTGAAGGAGGTCCAGGTCAAGGTCGATATCCACGGTTTAAGATTTAATTATAATGGATAATTGCAGTTTTAATAAACAAGAGATCTCTGCAACGATCTCTGACCTTTCGGTTTGAGTCACACATATAACTTCCCCGTCTCAGAGTGTTTTCCGAAATACACATCTAGATCCCTAAATTTAGTGACTTGTCTCCTTTCACTTTCATCTCTTAACTTTTCACTTTGAACTTCCTTATTTTCACCATAACCAAGTTGTCACTGGACAGGTTAGACATGAATGTCTTCGCTGATGGTAATTGCAACAGCAAGAGATATTTCGCAAAGAAAGCAAGAAGTAACCATGAGAAGCGTCCATGCAATGAATATCAGAACTTTGAGATGGCGGCAGTTGCACTCTGACAACTGGCCGTCACTGTGGGCCGTGCTTTTATTTGGGGAAGGATTGGTGATCTTGCCGCAATAGTGTGGGTTGGATTTGTTGGGTTGGTGTTTGTCTTTTAGAAGTGTTCGAAATTCCTTATCTGTCGAGTAATGTATTCCCTTACTTCCAGGGTAACTAAATGTAAATAAAATGAACTGTTGGTCTAAGAAAGAATAATTCTCAAATGTATAATGGTTCATCTGACTTTATTTAGGCTGTTAATTAGCTAATTATTCCTTGCTTGAGTGAGTACAAGGATGGAAACTTCTGAAATGAGCTGCTGGTACAGCACCTCATGCTACACTATTCCCCATAGAATGTAGTTGTGGGGAACTGTGCCATAGATCATTTCAGAAGACTGAGATGAAATTATGGCGAAATGAGTGAGCACAAATTACATTGTATATTGTTTCATAACGACAGTGGTCGCGCTGGTGACAACGACTTGATCGTGAAATAATAGTGACAATCACTTTTACAAAATAGGGTTAAAATAATTCTTTTTCTGGTATCAAATAATTAATGACATGGATAGAATAGACCTTTGGTTCTGTTGCTATACATGTCTCTAGCATATGGTTTGTTCTTTTAATATTGGGACTATGGAGGACAGTGATTTATTTTGAACATTGTCATTTACTGAATTTTGTAGTTCTTCGGATTTAAACTATGTCGAAGAGAGGACGCGGTGGAGCATCGGGAGCGAAATTTCGTATTTCGTTGGGTCTTCCGGTTGGTGCTGTCATGAATTGCGCCGACAACACTGGCGCTAAAAATCTTTTCGTAATTGCTGTATATGGAATTAAAGGACGTTTGAATCGATTGCCAAGTGCTGGTGTCGGTGATATGTTTGTTGCTTCCGTAAAGAAGGGCAAACCTGAACTGCGGAAAAAGGGTTTGTTTCATTCGTGAATTCAGATGTGAGCTGGATATTTCGGTATGATTGAATAGTATTGAACGATACTTGTTTGTTATAATTCTTTATGTTTGACCAACATGAAAAAGTATTCAATTTTGAGATTGCACGCTATTATGACCATATCATCTCTTAATATGTCAAGATCCATTAGACAGTGGTTATAGATTTCGTTAACATGCCATGAGTCAACTTTGTAACATTTAAATAAAGTTTATTCGCAATAGCATAACTGAAAAGAAGCCGATGAGGATGTTTGAAGGATGGTTTCGCAAATATAACTGATAGTAGTACCATGTAGAAATCCTTGGCTGTCTGAGGCTTGTAAGATAAAATAATTTTCACACGTGTGTCATGTACAATTCTATTGGTTTTAATTGCCCTGCATTCTGGAAATGCCTTAGATTCAATTTGTGCTATTCATATGCAGCAGCTATCAAGAGCATGTTAAGAGATTATTTCCCATTTCGATTTTTGATAAATTCAAAATAATTCAGTTCTACAAGCAGTGGTTGTGCGACAACGAAAACAATATCGGCGGAAGGATGGTTCATTCATCTACTTCGAAGATAATGCTGGCGTTATTGTAAACAACAAAGGTGAAATGAAAGGCTCGGCCATTACTGGGCCGGTAGCCAAGGAGTGTGCGGATCTGTGGCCCAGGATTGCTTCAAACGCTGGGTCGATCGCATGAAAACTGTTGTTTTTTGTTAATCAAGCGATTTGAATAAAACGATTCACTAATATCCTTCCTTTGCTGTCCTGAATAGCCAGTAACATTGCAGCATTTTTAAATATCTTGTTATCTTCAGAGGTATAGAGTTATTCGGAAATCCGGTATGAACAGTAATAGTGAAGTTAATGTGTTTCATTCTTATCAACCAGTTGAAGCTCTCTTTTACCTTCTATAGCACTGAGGTAAAGAAACCTGACATCTGTTCGAAATTGGGTTCGGTTATATGTATATATAAATCCCCATTACAACTCATCTGATAAAGCTAGAGTGCGTGATTCCGAAAGATGTCTTTTTATACAAGCGACAGAGAAACGTCGACAAATTCGTAATCCTAACGGATGCTTTACTTGTTGAGGGATTTCTTTTTCTTTCCGTCGCTTGCTGTACAAGCAAAAATGCATTAACTGCTTGTAATGTGTATATCTGTCGATATCACTGATATGAAATTTATTTCTTGTAGTACATACCTTTAAAATGTTTAAATTCGTCGACAGTTATACAGTACAACCATTTCCAGAATTGGTAAATCACTATACTCACATTTTGGTGAATTTTATGGATCCTGTTTCATCGGAACCACCTACAATATATTGGCGCTCATGGTCTGACTACATCTAAGAAGCAACTGTATACACGACCACCTAACTAGGTTATCTTCATTGATAATTTCTCAATGAAGAGACTGAAGATTGTTTGTAACCTTGCATGAACGATAAAAATTATTATGTCTGAAGATAAAATGTTTACACTTACCAAAGTAAAATCTTACCTAATGCTTTTTCTACTTCTGAAGAGGAAAAAAAAGCGTGGTTAAATAATGCATTCTTGATCATTTGAACCATCATTCCGTGCGTAACTTCACAACTTACCTAAATAAGAATAGAAATTTCCAAACAGCTCAGATTTGTCACTGAAATTAAGAAATGTTTTTGGATGGGCATATTTTCAAAGCAAGAACCATACATGTTTTTGCTTTGAAAATATCTTTATCCAAATTTCGTCCCTTATGAAAAGTCATACAGATCAGGAACATGCACAAGCGAAAATTCGGGACGAACTAATTTTTCCGAATCGGTTGCTGGGTTAGAAATAATAATGAAGTCAAACAAAGAACCTTTCTTGTGTCTTTAATTATCTTCGATAATTTATCTGCTATTGTTGAATCTAGTGAACGCGGCCCTTGAATATTTTTGCACTTGCTTACCTAAAATTTAAACTTCCCTTCTCCACTTGATAGTAATTATTGCACCATCTCTTCCAATAAAATGCAAAACTTTGGAAAAAATTTGGAAATTTTAGAGTTTAACTCACATTCTGTAACTTTTGAGCGAGATCATTGATCTGCGACGTAATGTATGAAGAGTTGGTGATCAGTGAATTGCTGGACAAAGTGCTAACCCAGTAAGTGTTCCACAGAGAATCCAAGAGACGTGCATCCAAAGATGATTTGAAATAAGATACTTCCAAGGGATAATACTAGAAAAATATATAAGAACTTGGAACCATATCCATCATGATTTTTCTGTAGTTTAGAGATGTTCCAGTTCTATAGTGCTACTATCTTTTTAATTCATTGGAAGTAGGGTGCCATCCTTCTTAAACACGAGATATAGAACCACCGAAAAATTGAATTCGAAAATTTCGATGGAATATTCGAGATAGTTTTTTAGATACACAAAAGGTGAGAAATATTGAAAAGTAATACAATGAAGAATATAATAAAAACAATACCTGTTTGCAATGAACTCCAAAGTCTTCAATTTTATTTAAAGGAATCGACTGATATTCTGAAGGAACCTCGTCAGGAGGCTTATAACCCTTTGGGTAAGTTCGGAAAGCACCAAGTTCTACTTTTCCTGCTGACATTGTTCGGATAGGATCAACCTGGAGTAGAAGTAAAAGGACGGTCACTGAAGAAACGAAAAGTTATTGCGTAAGCACAGAGATGATTTTGTACTAAGATTCAACTTAACAAAAAAGGAATATCAAAACCTACCACAATAGCTACGAACGGCTCCTGGAATTGTTGATTGAGAGCCTGAGTTGATACGTCAATTCCACTTAACCAACATCCGTATCCTGGATGACTGTGGTACCATCCTACAACCTTAAATGAACAAGGAAAATAAGGAATTTCAAAGATGTATTGAGCTACAGAATCAGGCCTGTACGAACTAGAATGCACGAATTCGATCAAAGCAAGAGAAAATTTTTGGTGCCGTAAGAAATTTCAAAAATACTAAGAATCACAGCTGACTATCCAATCACCAAAAACGAAAAATGTCCCTTTCTGTTTAGAGTAGTACATTAAAAACCCAATAATAAAATTAACCTTATGAAGTCTTCCCACTGCTTCTGAACTATCTGTATATGTCGTCATGTATTCGTACGCTTGAGCTTGAGCGTTCACTCGCGTTTCAGTACCTTCCACAGGCAAAGCAAAACTGTCCACCACGACCAGTGTATTTGCATCCACTTTACCCTGCACTAATCCCATTACTTCCAAATTACCACCACTCCTTGCATGCATTACCATTTTCAACAAAGCCAGTGCAGCAATTTTGATTTCCTAGAAGCAGAATCCCATGAATTTTATCGTTAGAAAAGAATATAAATGATGCTTTTCTCAATCTAAGTATTTCAACTGCTACATATCATGGGTTGTGTTGTACTTTTTTTACCAATGAGGAATCAAGGGAGGACATAATTCACAACTGAAAAGCTATTGAAAAACTCGTGCTTTGAAATAATGAGGATCTTTTTCCCACGGCTTCACAGCCCGTATAGCTTGTTGTTCAGCTGAGTCGTACTGATAGATAGTTTCTAATGATTCGATATTATTTGACATTTGCCAGTTTCGGAATGCCATTGATGTGGCACTACTCATCGACGATTCCATTGGTTGATCGCTGCTCATTGAGGTCATAAAAACAATAAGCGAAAATTTGAAATTTTAGAGAACTGATATGCTTTTTCTTATCTAAAGTTTAATCTTGACAATAATGCCAAGTATTATTGAGGTTAAACTTATTCTGAAACTACCATACAAGTCTCATGCTCCAAAAAGGAAATATTTTATTAACTGAATAATTACGTATTCTTGCAAATTGAAAGAGACGAATTAATTTGCTACACCAGATACTCGAGAGTGGTCAATAAGACAGCTCAAATTGAGCAGAAAATTGATGTAACATGAGAGACTGCAAATTACCAGTCACCCCAAATGATATCCCACGCTTCCCATCTGTTGATTATTGAATAAAATGGACAGTATCTCTCGACGTAAACAACAATCCAACGTCAGCTGTCCTACTGAAACCTTCACCCATTGTCTGTCTTGTTTACTTCCACCTCAAATAACAAGCCAGTTTCCTTCATACTTCACACAATTGGTGATGACGTTTGCCATGAAGTGGACATTACTACGAAATACATATATATAGCAAGACATGTTCATTGTGGAGGCATCATCCATCCATCTATATGATATCAGCTAAGAAGACAGGAGAAACGGTGTAAATTACTAAAAAAAGAAGAGAAAAAAAAGCTAAAGTTATACTTAAAAGCTATACTGGAAGGTTGTCAGAGATGAAACTTATAGACCTATTCGGTTGAAAGGAAGAGGAAGAGTATTCATTTGAAAAGATACTTTTCCAGACTCTTAGAAGAGTATCCTGGAAGAGTGTCTCTTTTTTTCAGATCAATAACCTGGACACTGATGCCAATACCGCCACCACTCTCCCCTACCGTATCACAAAGATTACTTTCCGTTTCCAGTATAGCTTTTAACAGCCAATTCTAATTTCGCGGTCGGCCGATGTTTTAGAATTGAGAATCGGTCTCTAGAAGGTGACAACATGAGGTGGAGTGGTAGGGATGGTGGTGTTGGAAGAGGTGTGATATGACCTAATCGATCTTCTAATGCAGTTCTATTCTAGCATGCAAGTATTTTATGTATGACCTTTCTAAATGCTCATTTGACGTGATGACTGGTCATTGATTGTTCACCAGTGTAACACTTGGATCCGTTTAACACAGTCGGGCGCCGATCACAAAGTAATGATTGCTGTTGTGACTCTTGATTATTTCAAATTTTAGCTTACTTGTCCACGCTTGTGACGAATCAGAGAAAAGCAGAAGTGCTTCTGTGTAAGAGTGAAGTAAAAGGTGCAAAGAATCGATGACAGTGTTTAACACTCGATCAACGACAACAGTAGCAGCAACATTGGCAACATCAACGACGACAACAACTGAATCTATGAGCGAGGGGACCAGTAGCTGTGGCAACACAACACGTCAAATATCCAGCGCACATGGAGCTTTAGGAGAAGCAGCCCCGAGCAGTGTCTTGGACAACAACGTTGTATTCCCTGTGGGCAGTGTGTTGGAGTGTCGAAATGTGTTGAATTCTACGACCGTTGGTCAGGTGATCTGCTCAGACCAGCCGACGCGACTTCTCGTCCTAAGTTTATATTTCTTTCAAGTCCTCTCTTAATAACGTGTATATGGGGCTAATCCAATATATCGATCTGATTTAGCATCCCCCGCCCCCACCTTACTACTGTTATAGCAACCAGTGGGATTACCGAGAGTCTCATACGTAGATGGAGTGTGTGGAGTTTAGCCCAGAATTACGGAGGAGTCTCTGTATGTAGACACTAATTACGCGAGAGTGGCAATAGCTGTTAGATAAAGTGAAGAAGAATGCAGTTTCAAGAAATGTGTGATTTTTTTGAAATGCGAACTAACCACAAACTTTAAAACTATACATATTTGGCTAGGGTTAAGTACTTTTTTACTGCTTCATAGATCGACGTATCAAGTAATCAGCAACTTGCCTTTAACATAAACCCTTGTATATATCCCATGTTTTTTAGGGGATACTTCAGGACCAGCTGGAGTACCGTTGGTACGTATAGTCAATCTGGCTCTTGTTGCACAGGTATTTTATTTTGACTTCTAGAAAAATACTGTTTGAGAAGCCAAACCTTATTTGACTTCCCCAAAACTTTTTGAAACATCCACTTCACGAATACGAGGAAGGTTTTTTTGTGAGATCAATGAAAGTGAATCACTTAGTGAAGGAGACATCAGTTGGAAACACGTCAGTTAAAAAGTTGTAAGTAAAAAAGCTACAAGATGAACTATTTGTCTCTAATTTCAGGTAACATGTCTGAAAGATAAAGGGAGCGAGCAATCGTTACCTTGGCCAAATTTGCAGATATCCACAAAACAAGTGCAAGAACGGATGAACCGTGCAATAGCACGAAAGAAAGCATCCATAATGCAAACTAATGTATCGGTTGAGGGGCAGCGAGCTTTTATTCATCTGAGGAAAACGTAAGCTTCATGTATCGGTTGAATTAATGGTAAATTTATGATTTCTTTCATGGTACTGGAGGTTTTTAGTTACTCTCATTTGTCTTTTCCATTTTTTCTTTCCATTAACTCATAGTGGCTTTTGCTTCTTTTTCTTTTTATGCGGAGAAACACAGAATACCATCAGAAGATTAAAGGACTAATCACATCCTTTTAATTTAGTTGGTCATAAATAATTGCAGACTGGAACATAGGGTGGAATGGTCAGGTAATAATATCAAAGTACTCAATCGTGTATTAGTACAACCACCATATACAGCTGATTCCATTGAACCTATTGGTGACATCAGCGATACGGCAGTCGCTTCAGCAAAAGAACATGTTCGCAAAATCGTAAGCGATTTAAGGAATCTTTGGATTATATATTTGTAGGCGCATGGTAGTTTTAAATAAATATTGTAAATTCGACTGCAATTTGCGTTTGAATTTTTACTGTAGTAACTCGTTCCTAGCATTTTTGACCGTTGCTCTTCTTTAGGCTGGAATAGAAGCTTTATCTTAAGCTGTGGTAATAATGTATCAAGACATAAAGCGAGGTATTTTACAACTAGCGTTATTGCAACTATAACTAAAATTGTTTTTTTCAAGGTTTTAAATAAAAAGCAAAGCATAGTTTTTGACTGAAATGAGAGTTACAAACGAATAAGTTATTAAGCTTTGTATAACTGCGATTTAACGCATCTTATTTTTATTTAATATCGGATCCACATACACAACATTTTTAAATGAATCCAACAAGCCTGCAAGTTAATCTCCTATTTGACGTTCCCTAATATTTCCGGCAAAATAGAGTTTTGGATATCTATGAGGATTCATGTGCATCACATGTGAAGTACATTACAGTCTTTTCTGTTATTTCATAGCTTTTTTATTTCATAGTTTTTTATTTTTCTTTCATAAACACTTTTTAATGCTAGATATAAATTCTGCAGTTAACGAAATATCGCAGTACTCAACAAATAAGTACTCCTAGCGACGATGCACCTGCAGATCCTACACCGTCAGGTTGAAAGCAGCAGAGAACGATCAGAAAAATATCGTATGATTTTCTCTGACGTTTCAAATTCCATACGATGATTACCAAGTTTATTGATTCTTTGGGCAGTTTCTACATTGTCCTAGAGAGTGAGTAGGATTACTCTGAAATAATATCCATGTTTATACTACCAGTTCTGCTTGTAGTTCCATTTATACACTTTTTTCATTATGAAGATCACTTCAAACTTTAGCATCTTTACCAAAAGTTCTGAAATATAACGCATTTTTTTTAATTTTAACTTCTGGCATAAACGGTGTAAAATGTAAAAAAAATAAAGTTTTATACAATGCATCTTGTTTTTTTCGAGAAATGCTATATAGGTCATATCCTTGTATAGCTTTTAGTTGTCCTAAAACAGTTTCTTTTGGGTTTGTTTTTCGAAGTTCTAAATATTTAGGACTTATACGTTGCAGAGGTACCTGATTTAAATGATGCATTACTTTCGAAACAAACAGGCAGATGATGTATTGATATTGTATTGCGTAAAATAAATGTCTTAAAATCGATATCCAGTGCTGGTTTCTAAAAACCAAAAAATTTAAACTTGAAATGATATGGGTGATGTACATCCTCTTCCGTATTCTGTGATCGATGGAACCGCCTGAAGCGTTTCAGAAGATTTTCAGTTTGTGGATGGTGTTATCATTTTTCTCTACAGTGCAGTCAAAATATCAGAACTTAAAATTAAAAAAGCGAAAGCCAATCGAAGCTTTCAAAAAGTGATGCTGATATTCGTTGGAAGACCAACGAATATCAGCAGCATCATTACACTTTGTTATATGCGGTATCATAAATGATTGGTTCTTTCGATTAGAGATGTGACTGATGTTACTTTTTCTGCTATTACTAGTTGTATGCCTTTAATTTTCATATCTTTTTCTCCGGAATCCTTCAAGAAATGCATGAGTTTTCCCAGGCAGCATCGTTTTTATTTGCTGTATAAGGTCATATATGCTTTTTATATCATGTCTTAGTTGGGGAACCGTCTGAATCTTTTCATTTTGTAAGATTGATTTTCTCTAATGTTCGCGGCGATTTGTTTCTGTGTTTCTTAAATTTAGCCTAAGCCGTCCAAAATCTTATCTTTAAGCTGACTGTTATTTAACCCATCAGTACTCGTTTGCAGAACGCGAAGAACTACAATCCAAAATAAGATGATCAAGTTATGCATATTGCCAAACCAGTTAGTCAAATAACTATCTACGTAATATTGTATATATTAAATCATTGGACCGCTGAATCCCGAGGTGAGGCAAGATAATTATGTACTGTCACATGTTTTTACCAAACATCATTTACTTATCATCTTATTGTCATTCTAAGAACGATCTGTATTGCTTGATTTCCTTGATTAAATGCTTGTATGTTAATATTGAAATCCTTAGTACTACCATCTCGTGTGCTCAAAAGCTTGCTCAACAAACAAACGGTGTCTGCATGAGTTTTGGTAATAATGAAAGGGGTAGGAATAAAAATAATTCTTGACCCAACACGAATAATAGGTTGCCTCACAGAATACACCAATGTCAACTGAACGTAAATTTGATGATGATAACGACAGCGATGATACGCCTCGGTTGTCTGCTGAAGCAGTGAATGCATTAGCAGAATTTTATATCGAAATGAATGCTGCTGATAAAGCTGTTGTTGAAGAAGACTGGCAGGTTCGTCATACATAAACTAATTAGCACATTTACGCAGGTTATGAAGAGTCTCCAATTGGACAGGTTTTAGGAATGGTGTTTTGTAATTCTGAACTGCATCGAGTTCAGACGATGCAGTTTTTGAGGACGTATGTGATATTGAGATTAGGTAGTCAGAGTTATTTCCAGTTCTGATTAAACATCTTGAGGGTCGTTATTTGGTGATTCAACTTAACTGCAACCAGTTGCCTCCTTACAATTTTTAAATTTCGACTTCCAAAGATCCTTCGTCATTCATGAATTAATTAACGCGATGTCTGGCGTGAGTATGTTTGGCATGAGTTTGAATTAATTGGTATATAGGATTAAGCAGAATATAGTTTCCACGAGTTTCAATTAACGAAATTTCCTGTACTCCAACAATGATTTTCTAATTTAGCTAAGTCAGTTCTGGTATTCGGAAGAAACTGCTTCAAAACTTGCTGAAGAATGTATGAAGAGTATTGGAAGTTGTGGAAGAATCGCTTGCATATCGTGCCCAACGCTTCTTGATTATCTTCTAAAGATTGATGTAAGTTATCTTCGAAATTGCTACCTTGTTCACTTATTCTATTAATGTATTAAAACTGTTGTATATTTCAGTGCGTAATCTGTGAACGTGTTTTGGTAACACTTTTTGAATACGATCGTCGATTTGAGAGGAAATTTGCTAAGGAATTTGTTGCGTATGATTATCGCGAACCTTTGGCAATACCTGAATTTCATCACAACGCATTTGATTTAATTGTTATTGATCCACCATTTCTCTCTGATGAGTGCTTAATTAAAGTAGCACAGACAGTACGATTGTTGTCCCGTGAATCCTCAACAAAATTATTGATTTGTACAGGGTTAATAATGGCAAAACTTGTAAGTTTATCTTAATTTCTGGATTTTAAAAAGATTTTAAAAGATAATTGAATGTGAAGTGGATAGTGGCAAATCATGCATATCTGATGTTTAGGATGCAAATAACTTCTTGAATACCAAAGCTTTAAGTCGTTCTGCATAGCTATGTAGACTGCTTTTGTTCAGTGACAAATGTTAAAAGGGATTTTGTATTTCGCTTAATGTCTTTATAGTTATCTTCCTATTAGAAACTTTTGTTTTTCCAATAAATGATGTGTGTGTGTGTGTGTGTTAAAGCACGTAATAGTGAAATTACTACTTATAAAGGTGAATTTATATTACACCTTAATTATTTCCTCATCTTTTAATTGGATTGGAGGACATTAGTTTGGCTTTCAGGTCGAAAGATTATTTCACGCACACAAGTGCAAATTCCAGCCATGCCACAAACACAACCTTGCAAATGAATTCGCCTGTTACGCAAATTACGAAACCGTCGTTTTGTGATAATGTTTTTTTTACATCTAGTCGGAGACAGATATTCTGATAAGGATGACAGGCTAATACGCGAGGTAAGCTGAAAGTGAATAAATTGCGAAGTCGGTATCGTAAGAATTAGTTGCACTGTTTTCACTGATGGTTTTGTCAAGCAGTAAAAACTGAAAGTTCATCTATTTTTGTGATAGCAACAGCATCTGTACTAATAAGAAAAGTGACAATTTTATGACAATGTTATGATTTCCTTTTTCTTCGGCTTTAGTCTGGTCTTGCAGTTTATATATTTTATTTATTCGACTGTTCTCAAATGATTTATTTCATTCTCCGTTGTTATATTTTCGATGAGTTGATAGTATAACTCCAATTATTCTCATATATAGTTCCATAGCAATTCACTTTCGTTCTGAGGATATTGGGGTTTTTTTACTCTCTTTGAGGTAGCTTATTAAGACATTCAAGCCTTTTGCCAAAATGTTCTCATTCAATGGAATAAAATTTTCGAAGACATTGTTTTAAAATTTTTTTCAAATTTATGGCTTATTGTCCATATTGCTGAAAAATGTACAGAAGTTTTCAATCTTTTCTGCTTACTTGCAGCACACTTTGAACAGCTCTTCAAACTTGTGCAATTTGTTAAACAATATTTGAATTCAATAAATTTTGCTGGACTGTAAGTTGTTAGAATACTGAGTAGCTTAGGAAAAGGAACTCATTCTCGGGTAATGCAAGTCTTCTATTTTTCTTTGGCATACTTCCGGGGTCATTCTCTCAAGAAAGTAGTGAGTGCAGTCGAACTCGGGATTGCAATTTTTTTTTTTTAGCAATAATGGCTTTTGCTAGATGTTGAAAGGAGGAATAAAGGCTCATTTAAAGTTAAACGCTTATGCGCTCATGTATAACGCTCATGTAATTGGGACTAAAAGGTGAGTTCACATCTCATAAATTTGAAACTTCGAAAGGAATTCGTGAAGAACGGAGAAAGGGAAATTATCTGAGTTGGAGAGACACAGTTGTGCATGATATAGATTGATATAAGCGTTGTTTGTTCGATATTCAGTATTCAAGTGCTAACACAGCATTAATTCATTATGTCGGAAATAATAAAGTCGCTGAAGCATGATGGGAGTAGCGAGTGCTATAATCTCCACGTTATTTGTAGAATTATTAACTTAAATGCGAGAACTTTAAACTTAAAAGATTTCTTAAATTGAAAGGACATGGTACTTGCATTTTTTTTCCGGGAATACTCCTAATTCTCAACAAAGTCTTCGCGATTGATTACTGAAATGTCAATAGTGCCCTTTGTCTATAGTCGAAATTTTGCACTACTTTTCTTGCCAGAATTTTCAGTTAACTCACTGCCAACATTTCGAGCGAAGGTACTTAAGTAATGGACCTTCAATTTCAGTGGAGAAATTGATGTAGTATAGTATTGATAATTTGCTGGCCGAATTCATTAAATGGCCCCTGCGGGACAGAGCGCTTTGTGGTCCAGTGTACTTTGCTGTCGTATATGTTCAGAGGTGAATTTTCTCTTTTCCGTTTTCATCCTTATCTAAATTGAATTGGAAATAAATATGTTCACTTTATACCCATGGGACTTTCGTCATTATAATTATAATCTGAATAAGCTACTCGGAATTCTTTGTTTCATGAAAATATATTTCAGCTTTTTAGTTCCTAAAAAAACTTAGACCAAATAAAATCTTAGCTTGTGGTCATACAATA